TGCCCACCTCCTGTCCGAGGTTTTCATTGTTGTGAACATTTCTGTTGAGGATTGGCAGCGGGGATGGGGTGGGGGGGTGTTTGGTTTTTATTCCCCCCGTCTGCTGGGTGGTTGCAGCAGGTTTTGGTCACTTCACATGACCCTGGGACACTGTGACCGTCATAAATATGAATCAGTTGCCAAGCATCTGGATGTTAATCACAAGATCCTGGAGAGGCTGCAACATTCCAGCTGATCGGCGCTTCTTCTGGGCTCAGCAGAAGCGCCAGGATCAGTGCCGAGCTCCAGCTGGAGCCTGGCGCTGATCCTGGCACTTCTACTGAGCCCTGACAGCCCCGAAGAAGCGCCGATCAGCTGGAAAGCGGCACTGATCCTGGCGCTTCCGCTGAGCCCTGACAGCCCTGCAGCTCCAGCTGTCTCTCGCTCAGGCTTGTGCGGTGCTGCCACCGGTTCAGCTCATTCCCCTCCCCCGCTACCACTTTTCTAGGATGGTCACGTACCACCTGCCAGGTGCCAATGTACCACAGGTGGTACCCGTACCGCTGGTTGAAAAGCCCTGCTCTAGAAACTTCAGTTGAGAACTAACTTGGTCACCGGGTTCCTTATGGTTACAGCTCAATTTTCTGGTTACAACTCAATTTTTCTGGTTTAAAGCCCTATAGGTCTTGTTATCTATGGGATCACCTTCTCCAAGTGGCATATGCTTACTCAGTAAGACTGTGGGCTCTTTCTGGATCTCATTTTCAGGAACCCACTGAGATGAATCCTTGCAGCTGACTTCTTTTGCTGGAGCACCATTCCTCCTAAGATCAGATTGGTTCCCACCCTTTTGTTGGGGGAGGCCTTGGAAATAAATTTGTAATTATAGTCACCCTCCTGATGTGGATTGCATGTTGTTAAGTTTGTTCCTTGGCGTACTGATTGTTTGTTATTTGTTTTATTACTGTTCTTTATTGTGTTTGCATTATTTTATAAGATGTTTGAATTAGAATTGGCACAGAACTGGCAGTAATGCTCAGTGTCTATATAAAGGGCCTATATGAGCTGGAATGGAATGGAAGGGTGGGGCGGGGCAAAGGCAAGGGGCAAAGTCCAGAGTCCAAATGGTTGACTTTATTTGGTCAAGTGTGATTAGACACACGAGGAATTTGTTTCCAGTTGAAAGAGAGGTTATTCTCCCAAAAACACAAGACCTTGCTTTTCCCAAAAGTGCTGTGAGAGGGTGAGGTGCGCGAGAGAATTTAACAATAGCCTGCATGTGGAACCCTAATTATGGTGCCAGATATTTTAATATTCATGGTTTTAATAGGTATATTTATGATGTTGCCTTATATTATTGATGTTGTTTTAATTGCTAGCTGGGAGCCGCCCAGAGTTTGATGTAACATGGGTGGCTGTATAAATATTTTAAATTAAATAATGACCACAGATTCTCCAGCCCTGGAACTGAGTAGCTGAATAGAAGGACAAATCACGTAATAGTACTTTACATATTTACTTTAATATTCCATCCAGTCAGGGGTGTGATCTGTGTTCTTTGTTTGCAAGGCATATATTATATAGAGCAAAGAGTTCAGACTTTGTGTTCCTAAAGCTGTAAAATGAACAAGACGATATGAATATTATCCAAAAGGTGAGCTGAATGATAGCAAGGAATCTTACAACAGCTTAAAGTCTAACCAATTTATTATAGTATAAATTGTCTCAGATTATATTTCCTGGCTTTCCTTCTCAGTTACCCCCCAGAACTGTTTCTAAACCATGAGAAATTAAGAATTAACTTTTAGAATTAAAGAGGACTTCTAGGGGAAAAAAAATCAATAGTGTACAGAACTGCCTATTTGAATATCTGGCATGTGCGTCATTTTTGCTTGACAGCTTGTTCAACAACTGCTGGCTTGATTTACAGAAAAAAAAGGATCTTATCAGAAATAAGTACTGTAACTGGCTACAGCTTAATTAGTGCATTAGGAAAACGTGCCATAACCCTCAAATCCCTTAAACACGAGAACAATAGAAACACAGCAATTAAAATATTTATCCATCAGGATTTCTTAACGTTTACTTGGGACTAAAAAAAAAAAATCCTTCTCTCACTTTTTTTCCAACTTTTGGAATCTCCTCCCATATGGTTGGTGCTCACTTGTGTGGTTTTTTAACAGCAGGGGGAGCCCTTTATTTTTCCCAGGGCATAAATAGTTTAAAGTAAGGGCTGTTTTTTATCACCAGTGCAATTAATTATATAATACTGCCGTTCTTTTATTTTTTTGTAAACTGTACTAGGAAATTTCTATTTTAAAATGTGATGTATAAAGCATTCATGTGAATGAATGAAAATGATGCACTGTTATCTAAACCAGGATCTGCGCATCATTCTCAGGACTGAACTTCGGATGTTCTCTGAGTTTGCAGATCAACTTGCTGAAATGACAAGGAGGCTTATGTGATTTACATGGAAACTACATGGATTGCTGTTTTCTCAACCACCCTTCCTTTCTTTTAACCCCCTTGAGGCCAAACTTTCATTATGAAAATCAAGATTATACATTATCTTCCACTCTGGCATTTAAAGCCTGTATTGAACAAACATAAAAAGGAAAGGTGATCTGTCTTTTATCCAACTGCAAGATACCGGATTATCTTTGCGGAATATTGAACACAAGGTAGCAGTTTTGCCCGTTGTCTTGATCTAATGAAGAATAGTTGTAAACTTGGTTCAGTTCAATATAATTGTGAGAAAATAAATAAAAACAATTGTTGAATGGATGTAGAATTAAATGCAGATCCATTCCGTCTTTAAAGGCTCCTTCCCCGCTCTTCGTTTGAGCGCTAGGCTATCTAGTTGAAGAGACGGGATTAGGATGAGGATTATCATGGTGGATTGTAATGCTCAGGTATTGCTGACTCTGCTGAAACCTCTTCTGATGATTAACTAGCTTGTCACAACATTTATCTGGCTCTTTTATCTAGATTTATTATTGTAATTAATTAGCTTTCTTGGCAAACGAGGACCACTATTACTGCAGAATTAACCTTTCCCCAGATTGGTTATTAACCAGTCCTCTAGTGGACCTTGGATCATTCATCCATTGTGTAATAGCTATTAAAAATGGAATAAAATATATCTTAATTTTAGGGGAAATGTTGTAGTTCATTCATGTTTTCTACAGGCCTCCGAACACTTTAAGTGGGTCAGAATAACTTCAGTATTACATACCTGTTCTGATCACTGTTTCTCTTTTCAGCAACTAAAATCTATGAGAACGTAACCCGAAATGGTTTCTTACCTGAGAGATATGAGCAATATAGCTGAGCGCAGTTTCAACAGGGTTTTTGAAAAACTTCTTTTCTTCTTGTTTCATCTGAAGGCCAGAAAAGCAGACAAAGGGGTAGATGAGGGTTAAATTCTTTATAACGTAAAAGGCGAAGCAAATGGAATTTTTCAGAGTTTATTTAATTGGCTGCATATCTGAAATATCACCTTTCCAATATCATTTCACCAACTGAATTTATGTCTATCCAGCTAATCTGTCATTCTGAATTCTTGTGCATATGATTTTGATTTATTTTTTTTTTACAGTTTTTATGTCATCATATTTTCTCTTGCTTTTCTTCCAAGGAACTGAAGGTAATATACTGGTAGTATGAAGAATACCACTTTTGGATCATTGAAAAACAGCAAGAAAAATATTCTGAAATAAGTAATTTTTTTAAAATCATTTTTCTTCTCTCACCTAACTTTATAGAAGCCTTCTTAAATAGATTCCATTGTGTAATTGAGTACACAACACTGATGGGCAGTATTTGAATACTTCTCTTCATAATATAATTGGGATACATAATGAGATCCCGACTGCCAGGTAGCTGAATATTTTTACAAATTAAAAGTACATAATAAACCATTCTCAATTTTTCAGGAAATGTCTTTTGTTTGGTTTCTTATAAATTAATATTTATCCACTTTCTACTAATGTCAGAGCTCTGTTAAACTCATTGTTTAACACTCCAGTTAAATCCTGCTCACTATTTGGTTTTCTTCTTATAATTTAAATATTTGACACATTCACCCAATAGATTGGGATACAAAGTCTGAGTTCAGAGATACCAAAAAGAAAGAAAAAAGGAATCTTTCTTACAGAAACCAGAACTTACATTATCTTTTAGAGACAAATATTTGCAGCTTGTTCCACAAGAAGGGCATTTATCTAACAAGATTAAAATGTAAAATTGTTAATAGGACACTGAAATATTTCTTATATCATAATGCACGAAATTGCAAAATGGATGTTTTTTCTAAAATTAGCGAGCAATTTTTGTTTAGATTCTCTTAATAAGGATTTTGGCTGATCTCTAAATGTGATGGAGACTTGGGGTTGGGCGGCACTTTGATAGGAAACCATCCCAAATCTCAGAGCTGTAGATCAATTTAGAATGTGGCAAAAAATATCTGTACTATTACCCAGGAAATGACACAGAAGTATCCAAGAGGTCATCATTTTAATTTCTTTGACTTTTACAGTACTCCGTTTGTGCTGGATGGCGCGCACACACAAAAAAGCCTCTAAAGTAGAAAAATACATTTCATACTTACCTGTATCAGCACATTTTTGGCAAAATATGTGTCCACAGCTAGTAACTGAGAAGTCAGATTTCTCTTGGCTGAAGCACTGATTGCAATGAAACCAATCCATGTTGAAAGGCAGAAAGGCTAGGTAGATTTTTCTCAGCTTCTATGGTGCATAAGGATGTGTCGGATTGTTTTCTAAAAAGAATTGTAATTGAATTTGAATTTTTGCAGGAAACAGGAAAAAAAATGGTCATGATGTATGGTTTTGAGGATTAGAATGAAAATAAAAGATTTTAGAGAAAATATAAATAATGCTGTAACCATAGGACAAGAGGTTTTTTATATTTATATAAAGAAATTGAAACTGACTTTTTTATTTCTGCATTTTGGTCTTTGCTCTTCTTTCTTTTTTTTCATTCTAAATATATGTTAGTTAGTTCTGTATTTAAAATTTGAATTTTATAAAAAAAAGAATTGGATGGAAAAGTAGAACGGAAAGGTGACATAAATTAAAATAAGCAAATGATTTATAAAAATAGAGGGAGAGAGAAGTAGGGGGAAAAAACAGGCATTTAGAAAAGGCTGGATGGATATACTGGATTGGAAACAAAGGTGAAACGTTCCTTCATTACATACGAGGGCCTGGTGGAGAAGATATAAGCAACGGAAGGATTCATTTGTATCAAAGATTGGGTTAGTGTTGCAAAATTGATTAAATGTTGACTATGTTAGTTTCTTTACCCACATATCCTTTCTTTAAAAGATGGTGAGGAAGGCAGAAAGTAGCACATCATTGATCACCATCATCATCTGAGTATTACTGTACGGTCTGGCCTTACATGGACTGAAAAAGGATGATCGCAATTATATTAGGCCAGGGGTAGGCAACCTTGGCTCTTTTATGACTCATGGACTTCAACTCCCAGAATTCCTGAGCTTGGAAATCTCTCCCTTTTCCCTCAGCATGGCTGGCTCAGGAATTCTGGGAGTTGAAGTCCACGAGTCATAAAAGAGCCAAGGTTGCCTACCCCTGTATTAGGCCAATAGATCCAACTACTTTCCAACTGCATACTCACTATTAATGACTATTCATCGAGTTCAACAAATAACAAAATAAAAGAAATAAAATGTTATTCCATCAAAATAATGTGGGCTTCAGAAAAGGGAAAAGGAAAAAGAAAATGAGAGAAAAAAATTTCAAGCATGGAGGGAGGCAATCTTGCTCCATTTCTTGGCATGGATCCATGGGGTTCAGGATGCACCCATAATAGCAGGGAGGGAGAGAATGGAGGAACAGATGTTAAGATGAATTGCCATATATCAAAGCTGCGGCAGCTTTGGTTTCATAACACCAACATGTCCTAGCAGTAGCATACGTCACTTTTATGGTGAAATCCTGTTTTCTTCCCCAACTCTCTTTCTTTTAGTGGCTCTGGATTTCTCCCATTTTATTATTTTTTGTCTTCCTTGACTGCCAGTTCTGGCTGGAGGTTGATGACCATCAGTGATCTTCATTCTTTCGACATTACTGTACAAAACAAAAACATGATATTTTTGCCAAATCAGGTACTTTGATTTTTTGTTTTATTTGCTTGCTGGTATATAATCTCTGAATCTAATCTTTGGCCATGGTGGTTAGGGATTAGGGGAACTGAAATCCAGTTTATCTGGAAATCAGGCTGGGAAAAACTGTAGTCTTTAAATCTGGTTGCCAGCTGCAGTGAAGCAACACTTTTTAAGACTTTTAAGAGTTAATTAGGGGACTTATGGGGTCTCAGCTTCAGACCCAGGTATTTGCACAAGGGCAAGGTGAATCCAGAGTTTGTGCTGCTTGGTGGAAGGACACCGATGCAAGATAGGGCAGGGGGATGGGGGACTTGAGGTTCTTTAATGTAAAAATCATGAAAACTGCAGCTCAAATCTTTCTTCATTATCACGACATTCCCACTATTGTTAAAAGTATGATAAATTACAATCTAATCAATGGGAATAGATACCATTTATATGTGATTCAATCATGGATTAAAGCAGTAGGTCAAGGATTTATGGTTTTTTTTTACCATCTTGTGACTCCAGAATGACTTTCACATTTCAAATCTGATTTGAGGGCAGAAGCAGCATGAAAATAATGAGGATTTATAGGGGTTTCTCTTAAAACTATTGGATTTGTGCTTTGAGTGGGGGGAGAATCTCTGAACAAGGGGATGAGCATCCATTTGAGAATAGGTTTGACATTGAAAGAATATAGATCCGACATACTATTGAAGGTGAAACTTGTCCAAACAAGTTTATGAATAGTTGTTGCCATCCTTAAATTATTTTTGTTTGAACTCTTGTCGATTTAATTATTATATGGTTTGGTTTTGGTGTGATTCTTGATCACTTTTATTATAATTTCTCCTCCCATGGCTGTCACTTGTAAAGCAGTTGTATTGCTTTAGAATTATTTACTTTTTTATGGATGCCTTAACCATTATGGATATTTAATTGCTTATTTGATGGATCTGTATTGATTTGACAAGAGGGAAAGTGGGAAGGAGGAAAAAGAGGGGAAGGAAGGAAGGAAAGATGGGCATAAGAAGGAAAATAGAAGAGGAAGGAAAGGGAAAGGAATAGCGAGAAAAGAGGGGGGGAAAAGGGAATGGAGCAAAGAGGAAGTCTTGGAAAATAAAGAGGTTCCTAGTGATTCTTTGTCCCCAAACCTCAAACCCCTCAGTTCAGTGATTCACTTCACCCCAGGTGGAAACCACAATTCTAACAAGGTTATAACCAAGTTTAATGGCTTTTCCGTCCCTTGGGAATTTCCTTCTTTGGCCAGCCTATAAATGTGGTTCCTCCACCTCAGCTGCCATCGAAGCCAAGTAGCAGAGAAGGCAGTGGGCATTTTGAGGGGAAATCTCCCCCTCCCAAACAATAAACGCTATTTTCCTTGCTGGACTACAGCCACCATCCTCCTCAGCGCGGCCCCAGGATAACGGGAACTAACTCTAACTAATTCTGAGGTAGAAGGACACCAGGCTGGGGGTCTCTTTGCGTTGATATAACGCCGCGCCGATCGGTACTTTTTGTTTATATTGCGAGCTTGTAACGTAACTGAACTGTGGAGAAACTGCTCCCTCAGAAGAGCGGCCGGTGTGCGCATGCGCGGATCTTTCCCGCCTTTTCCCCCCCCCCGACCGGCGTTGATAAAGAGGCGGGAAAAGAGAAGATTGGTCGGGGGCGGGGCTTAGGAGAAGGGGCGGGAGCTAGCGAAGGCTACCATTTGGGTGACTTCCAGAGTGTGGAGTGGCAGCTCCCAGAATTCCAAGAGAATTCTTAGGGTGTGCTGGGAGTTGTAGTCTTGTGCTGCTAGGCCTCCAAAAGCATCTTCTCAAGTTCTGCCGCTGTCCATCTCCAACTGGGCGCCCTCCAGACCGTGGAGCAGCAACACCTGGCGTTCTGAGAAAAATGCTAAGGGGATGCTGGGAGTTGTAGTCTTGCTGATGTGGAGGGCGCCAGCTTTTTGTAGCCTGGATCTAGTTTTCCCCTGAATTCCTGCTCGACTCCATCTCCAACTGGGTGCCTTCCAGACTTTGGAGCCACGATTCCCAGAATTCCAAGGGAATCCTAAGGGAGTGTTGGGAATTGTAGTCTCACAGGTCTGCAGGAAGCCGGATTTTTGTAACCAGCTTCCAATAGCTTTCTTCCGAAAACCCAGCTTGCTCCATCTCCACAATGTAGAGCAAAAACTCCCAGAATTCCAAGGGAATCATAAGGGGATGCTGGGAATTGCCATCCCAATTTCAATTTTTTTGTTTGTTTGTTTCAAGGTCCACTTGAAAATCGAGTGGATCAGCAATTTGGGTGAAAGCAATTACAGGGCAAGCCAACACAGGGTGCAAAAATCCAGATTGCCATTAGATGGCAGCGTGGAGATACAGAAAACAGTAGCCCTCTGCTGCCACCTGGGGGTTCCCTGAATTTTTGCAGTTCAGAGCTGGTACCCACCAGCAGCGTTGCGGGGGCGGTTGTTAAAAAGATGGCAAGGAAATTATTCTGATGGGTGCGTGGGTGGAAAAGCACTGAAGATGGCTTAAAGCACATGCGTGGGAAGCCTGGATAAAGCATTGAAATTCACATGATAACTGGCAAAGATCAAAACCGGATGGGCAGAATTGAAGCTTGCAAAGATTTACAGATTTCCTTTAAAAAAAAAATTAAAAAATCTCTAAATCCACCTACTGCAGCCTGGCGCAAGAGGAATCTGCCTGGAGGCAAATGCCACTCATCTGGCCTCTCCAGATGTGTCCTACTCCGATGCCCATCAGCCCCAGCCAGCTAGTGTGTCAGACCTGGATCCAGATATTGCCCTTTTTCTGCTTCTCAATACTTGACTTACGATCGTAACTGAGCCCAAACTGTATGTTGCTAAGTGAGGAATTTTGTTAAGTGAGTTTTGCTCTGTTTTACGACTCTTCTCGCCCTGTTCGTTAAGGGGATCCCTGCATTCCGCAAATTAGAAACACCGTTGTTAAGCGAATCTGGTTTTTCCCCACTGACTTTGCTTGTCGGAAGGCCGCAAAAAGGGATCAACATGACGCGGGGACGCTGCGACCGTCACAAATACGAGCCAGTTGTCAAGCATCTGAATGGAAATCACATGACCCTGAGGATGCTGCAACGGTCATAAGTGCGAGAAACGGCCATAAGTGCCGTTGTAACTTCAGTCACTAAATGAACCCATTGTAAGTCAAGGACAGGTAGTCCTTGATTTATGACTACAATTGAGCCCAAAGTTTTGGTTGCCTAGCAAGGCGGTTGTTAAGTGGGTTCTGCCCCATTTTACGACCTGTTTGCCATGGTTGTTAAGTGAATCACCGCAGTTGTTAAGTGAATCATGAAGCCGTTAAGCGAATCTGGATTCCCCCGTTGGCTTTGCTTGTCGGAAGCCAGTTGGCAAAGTCACAAATGGTGATCACATGAGGATGGCTGCAATCCTGCAATGATCACAAACACATGTTCAGCGCCTGAATTTTGATCACGTGACCCCGGGGATGCGGCCACGGTCGTAAGTGTGAAAAACGGTTATAGGTCACTTTTTTCACTGCGGTTGTAACTTTGAATGGGTACTAAATGAATGGTCAT